CCTCTACCTCTGCCACGAGATCCACCCCTGCTACTGAAACCACCTCTCTTGGTGGTCTGAGCTTGCAGTGCTTATTCAACTGATCTATCTGTAGTCCTTTCAAGAAGCCTGACCTCATGTGCTTCAAGATATCCCTGAAGATTTTCAATATTCAGATCTGCAAGTATCTTGGACTCATCGATTGCAACCACAATATGATCATAGCTAAGGGTTAGGGTTCTGAAAATCTTTTCAACAATAGATTGATCTGAGATCTTTTTTTCACATTCCTTCATTTCATTCGTAATAGCAATAACTCTGGTAAAATACTGAGCTATTGTTTCAGAAGCTGTCATCTGCATCAATTCATATTTTCTTCTTAGGGTTTACAATCGTACCTTCTGCAATTGATCTGCCCCTTTGTAGCACTTCTCAAGAATCTGCCAAACTTCCAAAGACGAGTTTGCAGCAGAAATCTTATCAAAATGTGATTCATTAACACATTGATGCAAAAGATACATGGCCTTGCAATCTTTTCGTTTATTCTCCTTGTACGCCAATCGCTGAGCTTCGATTGGTGTCGCCGGAAGATCAGAATAGCCGTTCTCAACCATTTCCGTCAGTTCATGAAAGCCAATAATAGCCTTCAGCTGAATCTTCCACCGATTCCAATTCTTGCCATTGAGAATCAGAAGTGTTGTTGTAAATCCAGTACTGTTCATCATTGTCTTTCTCAAACGAGGTCCTGAGATCGCTGGTGGCTCTGATACCAATCTGAAGGAGAATAAGAGATCGATGAGAAGAAAGAAAAGCAGACTGTTTATTCAAATGCAAAACACAGTACTTATAGTTCAGGCTTAACAGAATGATTAGACCAATACAAAGATAACAAACTGAACAACTCGGTCAACAACCCGGTTAACTAATCAACTATTGAATTAAAGGCTTTTATTTAACATCAAGCATCGTAAACCGAACAGGAACATTCCAACGGGACGGAGGGAGTATATATTTTATACTTCGTATCTGTTACTAAATATAGATTTACTTTATAATTGATAATCACAATAAAAACATAACATCATTGATATACCGTATATGTGATTACTAATATTATGAGTGAAAGTGTTTATACAATATTTCATTTTTTAATAAGCATCATATTCATATTTAATAGCCATCTAATTTAATATATTTTGATATTTTGTTAGAAATTGTATATTTTAAAATAATAATTCTATTTCTTTGTTGACCGGATTTTCCGGGTGTTGACCGGGTTGACCCACCGGGTCCGGGCTGACCCGTGACCCGATCGCTCGGCCGGATCGCTTCTGAGTCCGGTTTTTACAACATAGGGGACAACAACTATTATACTCCGTAATAATTTGGACCAGTCCATTGTACCCGAAATCCCAAAAACCCAAGGAGAAATCTTGTCCCCTCGGAGTTCAATCTTCTTCCTCTCAACTGTGAAGCCGGTGACAGCCCGTGACAACCTGAGACAGGAGAGCCTGAGAAAAAGACCGGCGAAAGCCTAGAGACGCCGCCGCCCCACTGGCCACTGGACGTTGTCCTCCGGTCTGCCGCCGCATGCATCTACCCTGCTCACCTCTCCAGCAACAAATTCTGATTCGGTACGAATGAAATTTTCATAAACTTCCATTTCAGATTTATTCGATGCTGAAAAATAACTAATTTAAATAGCAATCCATCTTTGCCGAGAAAATGTTGTTTGAATGACTAAAAGAAAAAAATTAAGAATGCATGTAAATTTAAGAAATGAATAGGTAAAGTATTTGACGTGGTTTGAGATCTCTGTATAGTGTGGATGTTTTTGTTCTCACCCATATTCAGTCGGTGTAATGAATTGAAATTAATGCATTCACCACTCTTCAGTTTTTTCTGGCTTTGATCTGATCTATGGACTATAATCGTTGCTCTCCCCGCATTTTTCATGTGTTTTGACGCCGTTAATTTCTTCCAATCACCTTATTGAGTTAGTTATATACGCAGTAATGGTTAGTTGACTTAATTGCATTTCTATTGGAAATGGATTTTTATGGATATACTTGCTTTTGTTAATGTTCTTGCTTCTCAATTCCTCTTCTTGTTCTTCCTGTTTGTTTCCTTTGTCAGATCCCCTTCTTGGCCTTCTTTCCCTTTGGTCTTCTTTCGTTCTTTTCCCTTCCTGCTCTTTCCCGTCTCTTCCTTTCCACTTCCCTACTCCCTTCCCATCCCTTCCTTCATTTCAATTGAACAATAAATATCAATTAATCACATTTCTTAGTGGTGTAGCAACCACATTCTTACTACTTCTAAAAATATTACAGGGACACATAAGTACAACTTCTTTCTTTTAGTTCTCTGGTGGGGATAAATGTAAAATGGTCCCAATACCATGAGACCATTTGTTTAATCTTATTTTTCCTAAGACCATATGAAATGGTGTAGAACTGTAGACCACATTTCTTTCTGTAGAAAATGTTACATTTAATTGTTATTATTAGATAGTGTACGTGTGTAGCTGTAGATAAGATTTCAAAGTAGATTAGACTGCAGTTATTAGTAGATAAGTATTGCTGTTGTATAGATCCTATTTTTTAGGATCTGCATGGGGAGTTTGTTTACTGTACGCTGTATATATATTCAGGCCGTATGGCTCAATATATTCAAGGAAGATTAATTCCTAAAACCTACATGGTATCAGAGCATCGGTTTACACATCACGATGGTAGAAACCACAGATTCTGATTCATCCCACATTACCAACCCTAACTCCCAAATTAGCCCGATGACAAATTACCAATCTCCTATTCATTCATCTATGCTAATTACCAGCCATAGATTGAATGGAAAAAACTATTTGGAGTGGTCTCAATCTGTCAAGCTCGCAATTGATGGGAGGGGAAAACTGGGATACCTCACAGGAGAAATCAAACCAAAAATTCCTGGAGAGGAAGGCTACACCACATGGAAGTCAGAAAACTCACTTATCACAGCCTGGCTCCTTAGCTCCATGGAGGCCTCAATTGCAAAGCCTCATATGTTTATGAAGACAGCAAAGGAGGTCTGGGACTCCATAAAAGAGACTTACTCAGATCTTGAAAATTCTTCTCAAATTTTTGAGTTAAAAACCATTCTCTAGCAGTCCAAACAAGGAAATAGAGATGTCATCTCTTACTACAATGAGATGGTATCTCTATGGCAAGAGTTGGATCAATGCTATGATGATGAAGAATGGGAAAGTGCCAAAGATCTGGCAAGACACAAAAAAAGAGAGGAAAATGATAGGGTCTACATGTTCCTAGCAGGAATTAATAGGGATCTGGATGAAGTGAAGGGAAGAATCCTTGGAAAGAAACCTCTACCCTCAATCAGAGAAGTATTTTCTGAGATAAGGATGGAGGACAATAGGAAGAAGGTTATGTACAATACTCCAGTACATAACAATGATGAGCCAGGGGAGTCCTCAGCAATGATTGCCAAAGGAAATGAGAAGAAGAAGCCCTGGTGTGATCATTGCAAGAAACTGTGGCACACCAGGGAGACATGTTGGAAGATTCATGGAAAACCACCAGGGTCAGGACAGAAAAAATTTGACAAAGCCCTACACACTACCATGCCTGAAACTGGACAGGAACAACCAGACACTTCCAAGCAGCCCTTCTTCACAAGGGAACAGATAGAGCAACTCCTACAGCTTCTAAATACCAAAAAGAGCCCTAACCAGGAAAACCCTTCATGTTCTTTTGCCCAAAATGGTAAAATAACATCATATTTCTGTTCTAAAAAACCAAAAAATACTTGGGTCATTGACTCAGGTGCAACAGACCATATGACCTCTATTTCAAAATTCTACTCCTCATATAACCCTTGTGCAGGGGATAAAAAAGTTAAAGTTGCAGATGGCTCTTTTTCAGCCATTGCAGGGATGGGAAATGTCAGGATTTCCTCATCTATTAACCTCTCTAAAGTCCTACATGTGCCAAACATTTCCTGTAATCTTGCCTCTGTTAGCAAATTAACCAAAGAACTTCAGTGTTGTGTCAAATTTTATCCCTCTTATTGCATTTTTCAGGATCTGGCATCGGGGAAGATGATTGGCAGTGCTAGAGAGGAAGATGGACTTTATATCTTTGATGAAGGAACTAAATTGAATAAACAAGGTCAAGAAAATGCTTGTTTGCAAACTGTTTCTCTTTCTTGTAATAATGAAGTGTATTTAATGGACTACAGACTAGGTCACCCTAGTTTCTACTATTTAAAAAAGTTGTTTCCTCAGTTGTTTCATAATAAAAATCCTTCATCATTTCAGTGTGATATGTGTGCACTTGCAAAACATCATAAGAGTTCTTATATCCCTCACAGTTACAAACCTACTAGTCCTTTTACTCTTGTGCATAGTGATATTTGGGGTGCATCTAGAGTTTCTACCTTGAAAGGACAAAGATGGTTTGTAACTATTATAGATGATCATACACGAGTAACATGGGTTTTTCTGATTAAAGAGAAATCTGAAGTTGAAAGTGTGTTCAGAAAATTTTACTCAATGGTTCAAACTCAATTCAATACCAATATCAAAATGGTAAGAAGTGATAATGGCCGAGAGTATTTTTCCCAGAATTTGAACAATTTTTTTTACTGAAAAAGGTATTATTCATCAAAGTTCTTGCATAAACACACCTGCTCAGAATGGAATAGCTGAGAGGAAAAATAGGCATTTACTTGAAGTCACTCGTGCAATCATGTTTTCAACAAAAGTTCCAAAATATTTATGGGGAGATGCTGTTTTACATGCCACTTATTTAATTAATAGGATGCCATCAAAAACTCTAGGATTCAAAACTCCTATTGATACACTTCAGAACTGTTTTCCTAGAACCAGAATTATCAGTTCTCTTCCTTTAAAAATTTTTGGTTGCACAGTGTTTATTCACAACCCTGACAAAACTGCAAGTAAACTTGATCCTAGGGGTAAAAAATGTGTTTTTTAGGACTGTCTCCAACACAGAAAGGATATAAATGTTTTGATCCTACAACAAAAAAGATGTTTGTAACTATGAACACTAGTTTTGTTGAGAATCAGCCCTTTTTTAGTACTCATCTTCAGGGGGAGAATTCAAGTGAAGATGGTAACAGTGTATTGCATATCCATGAAAATCTTGAATTTCTTGACATTAATCTAGATGCACATCATACTAAAGACTTAGATGCATCAGAAAATGGTCTAGAAATAGAAGAAAATGCAATAAATATAACTGAAACAAGGAAAGAAAATGAACTGCAGACAAGTAAATTTTTTGGCAAGGTTTATGAAAGGAGAGTTCCAAATCAAAGAATAGAGGACATCTCTGATCCTGAAACTGCTCATGAATCTGACTCATTGACAGAAAATGGAAAAGGTAATAATTTCAGTAATCTTGATTTACCAATTGCTCTCAGAAAGGAGAAAAGGTCATGTGTCAAATATCCTATTTCAAACCATGTTTCCTATTCTAGATTATCCTCTACATTTGCAACCTTTTCTTCTATTGTCTCTTCTATTTCTATCCCATCAACCATACAGGAAGCTCTATCTAAACCCGAGTGGAAGAAAGCTGTTTTGGAAGAGATGGATGCTCTTGAAAAGAATCAGACATGGAAGATTGTAGAGCTACCTAAAAACAAGCCCACAGTTGGATGTAGATGGATTTTCACTCCTAAGTTCAAGGCAGATGGCACTCTTGAGAGGTATAAGGCAAGATTAGTTGCCAAAGGTTATACACAAACCTATGGCATAGACTATACTGAGACCTTTGCACCGGTTGCAAAGTTGAATACTATCAGAATTCTTCTATCTCTTGCTGCTAATTTAGACTGACCTCTTCAACAGTTGGATGTGAAGAATGCTTTTTTAAATGGGAAACTTGAAGAAGAAGTTTACATGAATCCTCCTCCTGGATTTGAAAGCAGGTTTGGTTCAAGAATATGTAAGCTAGAGAAATCATTGTATGGACTCAAACAGTCCCCAAGGGCTTGGTTTGATAGGTTCACACAGTTTGTTAAAAAACAAGGATATAAACAAGCTCAAGCTGATCATACTTTATTTATAAAATGCTCAAGTAAGGGGGAGATTGCTATATTAATTGTCTATGTAGATGATATTATCATTACAGGAGATTTTTATAGAGAAACACAAAGCCTGAAGGAGAAACTTGCTTCTGAATTTGAGGTCAAAGATCTTGGAGAGTTGAAATACTTTCTTGGCATGGAGATTGCCAGATCAAAAGAGGGAATTGTTGTATCCCAAAGGAAGTATGTTCTGGATCTTCTTCAAGAAACAGGGATGAGTGCATGCAAACCAGCTGACACTCCTATTGACCCTAATCAGAAGTTGGGAGATTTCAAAGAGGGAGTTCCAGTCAATACTCAACAATATCAAAGATTGGTGGGAAGATTGATATACTTGTCCCATACCAGGCCAGACATTGCATTTGCAGTTAGTTTGGTTAGCCAGTTTATGCACAATCCAGTCCAAGAACATCTTGATGCAACCTACAGGATTCTGAGGTATCAGAAAAGTTGTCCAGGGAAAGGATTATTTTTTAAAAAGGGCAACAGTAGAACTGTTGAGGCCTTTACAGATGCAGACTATGCTGGCTCAATTAATGATAGAAGATCTACTTCTGGATATTGCACCTATGTGTGGGGAAATCTGGTGACTTGGAGAAGTAAGAAACAGAATGTAGTTGCTAGAAGTAGTGATGGAAAACCTTCTCGAATGCAAAATGATTCAGGGAAAGTTGATGAAAACAAGATTGGAGTTTTAGAGTCAAGGAATATTGGCATTGGAGGTGATCACACAGATTTTTGTTGGGATTATGCAAATTTGGACTGCATCGGCAATCTTAACGCAAATTTTGAGGAAGATTTTGGAGGATCATACTCTACACATTCAGGTGATGAATTCCTTGGCCATGTCTCGGAAAATGAGAAAAGGGTTCCTATTTCAACGGTAGATGATCTTTGGGATTCTGATACTAATGAAGTTATTTGTCAAAAAGCTTTGTTGGTCACACGAGATAACTGTTTGCCCACACAGAACTTGAACACTCAAAAGAGAATGTACAAAAAGAAGAATCAGAGATCACATCTTATGAGAACTAGATCTCAAACACGGGCGGGTCTTTGAAGATTCTACTTAGGGCTAGGGATTTTTAGGGAGTGATTCTATTTAGGGCTAGGGAAAGTTTCAACTTTGGGTTGGGTTCTACTCTTGTTTGTCTCTTTTTGTTTGTTTTTCTGTTTCCGTATTTCTTTCATGTACTTTCTTTTGATTAATAAAATATTTTTTATTTAAAAAAAAAAAATCCATGTTTAAAAAAAAAAAAAAAAAAAAAAAAAAAAAGTCTATGGCTAATGGAATTTGTGAACTGCTTTGGATCAAGAGAGTGCTTTCAGAGTTAAATATGCAGATGGATCTACCTATGAAGTTGTATTGTGATAACAAGGCAGCCATTAGTATTGCTCATAATCCTGTGCTACATGTGTCACGCCCCGGACCCCTCCGGACACGTCAACAACCCGCCGTACAATACGAATAGTCAACCGCAGTCCAACACATTCATATTATACAAGGCGTCTTGAATATCATTCACACTCATAACATCCATAAACAAACATAATAAGTAATTCATAACGCAGCGGAAAACATTGTTTAAAACAAAAGAGCCACACAGGGCTATTCATGAGCACGCAGGCTCTAAAGTAAAATATCCATGAGCAAGTTTATTAATGTTTCAAATAGAACGGAGGAAGCACGAACCAAGTCTTCTCTCCGAGGAATCCCCCGATCAACGAGCACAGGATGCAAGCTCTAGCCTCAACCTGAAATGGTGGTGGGACGCCCCCGAAGGGGTCAGTACTCTATACGGCTATAAAGTACTGGTGTGGCAGGCATCTAATAGATATACAACAAGTATTTCAAACACAAGACCCTCAAATAGGGTGATAGTACATTATGATTGTAACCCTAAGTTACCCCGTTTAAAAATATACTTACTTTATATAAAAGTCAAGTAGTCGGCCCGTGGGCCCATGTTCATTTGGAAATCACCATTCCCAACCCCGTGACTATAAGCCACGACAACTCCTAGAGTCCAACCCTAGTACATGACATTGTATTCTAGAGCTCGGCTCTACCACATCACCATACAATTCATATACCTCGGGTTAATTTCCTTACCTTGCGTTCTAGAGCTCGGCTCTATCACATCACCACGCAAGTCCTAGAGCTCGGCTCTAGCTATACAATACGTAGATTCCAAGTCTACACCTTACATGCATTCTAGAGCTCGACTCTATCACATCGCCATGCATTAAGGTCCATTTCTCAAGCAACCCTATGCCTAGAATTGACATATCATTATACTACCATGGGTCATTCTTAAAGACTTCCCACAACTTAACCTTAGTTCCATACTAGGTTATCATATACACTTGAACTATATTCAAGTATCTTCCATACAATCCAATCCCTAGGATCAAATTAATTCACAAGTTCCAATAATCACTAACTAGTATTTCAATACTATTAAGATTATTGTTATCATACCATTATCCTCATTATTTGTAATTCCCTACATATTTATAGTTATGTAGCAGCAACTTAAGTATTCAATCTCAATACACAAATATTCATTTATGTATCCACATAATTCATACATGAGTAAAATACCCATTTTCACGAAATAGTTCTTTTATACTCATTTAGTCTCATATTATTCATACCTTCTCAAATCATTTCAAATTTCATTCTTTGGCAACTATATCAATATTTCATCAATATATAATCATTATAATCCATGAAAAATCATGATTTAAGCATTTAGGTAATCTCATGCTTAACCTACAAGTTGTAAGCAATTAGATGTCAATCCTCACCTCAATTGAGCTTTAAACTTTCCCTTCTTGGTCCAATGGTCAAAGCTTTGGTCAAGGTGGATTTGGGACTGATTCCTTTCTCAAATATGAGTGTTAAACAGCCTCCTCAAAGTGCTAGTTCAACCCTTAATCGTTGATACGAAAACAGCCCCTAGAACGGGTGTTTCCCGGTTAACTCGTTTCCTAGTTTTTCCAAGATTTGCTCTAGGTTAGTATCTAACCTTTACATCAATAAAATAACTTTATAAGGACATATTATACACTTGGATTAGTGTATAATAGTCCCACCAATCGTTCGTATCATTTGGAGAATGAAAAGTAAAGTTTTGGGGTTAAAACTCACTTTAGAAGATTAAATCCTCTCCTGCGAGGTTGTGTTTTGCTCGGACGATTTGGAAGTCTTCCACAACTCCGATTCATGCAAACCAGACCTTCAAGGATTCCTCGTCTTGAGAGCTTTCTTTTGGTATCTCACACGCCTTAATTGGATTGGTAAAACTCGAGATATCAACCAAACAGTCTCAGCACTCTCACAGCTCGAGTTCACAGACCACTGCTCGTTCCAGATCGATTTTTGGATGATTGCTCTCTCCTCTCGAACAGAGACCACTCAATTATAAAAATAGACTTCAAAAGCTATCCAAGGACACCTTATACCCGTTGTTTGGTCGAGTATAACTCCCATAATGAGTGGAGACAACCAGCACACCATTTTGTGCGAAAGATAGGGATGGTGGCCCAACAATTGATTCCTATCAAGTCTTGTGCAGCTCCCCTCCATGGTGGTCGGCCAAGGTAAGTTTCCTAACCCATTTTTATTTGTTTTGCAGGTACTAATATCATGTGGAGTGGTTCCCAATTGATCCCAATCATTTTGGGATCCAAATTATCTACCAATACTTCCAAAAATGGGGAAAATGGGTCCTATTGTTTTATCTTTGTCAAAAGATGTCTTTTTGTACTCATCCTAATTTATTTAGAACAAGTCAACTTCCTAAATCACATTATTGATCTCCAATATGTGTAGGCTCATCCCAATAATTTACTTGATGGATATTATAGAAGGAAAATCCTACTTCCATTATTTAGCTCAAAAATGCCAAAGATAGGGTTGTAGGCATTGGTATTCTTTTTAATCATTCGATCACTTATTTAGATAATGTTGAGCTCTTTTATTTATTAATAAGTCCCGAAAAGTGTTTGCAAACCCGACACTATCATACGAGTTTGAACAGTACGATATTCAGTCATGCACTACGTAAAACATTAATCGCTTTACAATTGTTTGGCAATCGGAATTTCAATACATAAATGTTAAATTTTTAAATCGAATTTTCAAGGACGTTCGGGTGCGGTGTCACAAGTTCACCCCCCCTTAACAGGAATTTCGTCCCCGAAATTCACAGCTCTACTCGAATAGGAAAGCATATTGCTTCCTCATCAAAGCCTCTGTTTCCCATGTCTCTTCCTCGACCCGATCGCTCTTCCACAGGACTTTAACCATTGGGCCTTCTTTGCTCCTCAGCTTCTTCACCTTTCTATCGGTGACTTTGATAGGTTGAACAGCGTAGTTCAAATCCTCACGTACCTCTACAGGTGGCTTCTCCAATACGTGAGAGGGATCATGCACGTACTTCTTAAGCATGGATACATGAAACACATTATGTATCTTCTCTAACTCAGGAGTCAACTGTAGACAATATGCAACGGCCCCAATCCTCTCTATAATTCTGAATGGACCTATATATCGTGGGTTAAGTTTTCCTCGGGTTTGGAACCGAATGATCCCTTTCCAAGGAGAAACTTTCAAGAATACCCCGTCATCAACCTTAAACTCTAAGGTTCTTCGACGCTTATCTGCATAACTCTTTTGTCTATCCTGAGCCGCCTTGAGTCTCTCTCGAATCAACTTCACCTTTGATTTGGTGACCTCAACCAACTCAGTACCCTCGAGTTTGGCCATGCCAACCTCGTCCCAGCATAACGGTGTACGGCACCTCCTCCCATACAATGCCTCGTATGGAGGCATGCCGATGCTTGCCTGATAACTGTTGTTATAGGCAAACTCCACAAGTGCTAAGTGGTTGTCCCAACTTCCCTGGAACTCCAATGCACAAGCCCTCAGCATGTCTTCTAGGATCTGTATGACTCTTTCAGACTGCCCATCCGTCTGAGGGTGGAAAGCAGTACTGAACTTCAACCTCGTTCCCATAGACTCCTGAAATTTTGGCCAAAAACGTGATGTGAATCGTGGGTCTCTATCAGATACAATGGTCACTGGGACCCCATGCAGCCTCACGATCTCATCCGTATACAATTTGGCTAAACTCTCAAGTGGGTAAGTAGTGTTGATAGGCAAGAAGTGTGCACTCTTTGTGAGCCTATCTACAACAACCCAAACTGCATCATAGTTCCTGATTGTCCGTGGCAAACCTACCACAAAATCCATAGTCACGTGTTCCCACTTCCATTCAGGAATGGAAAGTGGTTGCAATAAGCCTGCTGGATGCTGATGCTCTGCCTTAACTTGTTGACAAGTAAGGCATCGACTGATGTATTCGGCTATTTCTCTCTTCATACCTGACCACCAGTAACTCTCCTTCAGGTCACGGTACATCTTCGTGCCCCCCGGGTGCATGGCATAAGCCGATGAATGAGCTTCCTCTAAGATGGACTTCCGGAGCTCGTCATCTGCCGGTACACACACTCGGTCACGAAATAATAAGAGACCGTCATCTCTGAAGTCCTCCACCGAACCCGCTTGCATGCGTTCCCGGATCTTCATAATTTCTTCGTCGGTTTCCTGACCCTTCTTGATCTCATCAAGTAAAGTAGGTCTCACCTCAAATCGTGCCAATAAGGCACCATCGCTAGATACCTCCAGTTGGGCTCTTAATGCCCTCAAATTAGCTAGCAATGCCCCAGACGAGCTCTTCCGGCTCAAAGCATCTGCCACCACGTTTGCCTTGCCTGGGTGGTACTCTATCACTAGATGGTAGTCTTTTATCAGCTCCATCCACCGTCTCTGTCTCATGTTTAGCTCTTTCTGAGTAAACACGTACTTCAAGCTCTTGTGATCAGTGTATATGTGACATGTCTCCCCGTAGAGATAATGTCTCCATATCTTCAGTGCAAACACCACTGCCCCCAGCTCCAAATCATGAGTAGGATAATTCACCTCATGCTTCTTCAATTGCCGTGAAGCATAGGCGATTACCCTCCCATTCTGCATCAGTACACATCCAAGCCCTTGGATGCTCGCGTCGCTATAGACATCGTACCCCACACCTTGTTTGGGTAATGCAAGTACCGGTGCCTCAGTCAATCTCTTCTTTAGTTCCATGAACCCTTTCTCACATTTGTCATCCCATACAAACTTAGCTCCTTTACGAGTGAGCTTCGTCAATGGCGATGCCAAAACAGAGAACTTCTCCACGAACTTTCTGTAGTAGCCTGCCAATCCAAGGAAACTACGAATTTCCTTGACATTCTTTGGACTCTCCCATTCGGTGATGGCTTCTATCTTTTTGTTATCAACAGCAATTCCCGATCCTGAAACCACGTGCCCGAGGAAGCCAATCTCCTTTAGCCAAAATTCACATTTAGAAAATTTGGCATAGAGTTGCTTCTCCCGTAGTGTCTCAAGAACAAGTATCAAGTGCTCTTCGTGCTCCTCTTCACTCTTTGAGTAAATCAAGATGTCATCTATGAACACAATCACGAATCGATCCAAGTATTTATGGAATACTCGGTTCATCAAGTCCATGAATGCCGCTGGGGCGTTTGTTAACCCAAACGACATAACAAGGAACTCAAAATGCCCATACCTTGTGCGGAAAGCACTCTTTGGTGTGTCATCTTCCTTAATCTTCAATTGATGGTATCCCGATCTCAAGTCAATCTTCGAAAACACGGTTGCTCCTCGTAGTTGATCAAACAAGTCGTCAATCCTAGGCAACGGATACCTATTCTTGATTGTGACCTTGTTCAGTTGACGATAGTCAATGCACATTCGAAGTGTCCCGTCTTTCTTTTTCACAAAAAGAACTGGTGCTCCCCACGGGGAGTGGCTTGGTCTAATGAAACCATTATCCAAAAGCTCTTGCAATTGGGTTTTCAACTCGTTAAGTTCAGCGGGTGCCATACGGTATGGCGGTATGGAGATTGGTTTGGTGTCGGGCTCGACTTCGATCACGAACTCAATCTCCCTATCGGGTGGAAGTCCCGGTAAGTCTTTAGGAAAGACGTCCCGATACTTGCATACTACTCTAACATCATCAATGCTCGTCTCTTCTTTGGTTTTGTCCACCACATACGCTAGATATGCGTGACATCCCTTCCTCATCATATTCTTAGCTCTCACAGCGGATATGATACAACTATTGGATTTTTCCCTATCCCCCTCGAAGCGCAAGGTTACCCCTTCATTGCCTTCAAGTTCAAGTACTTTCGTGTAACAATCGACCCTAGCATGATGCTTCTCAAGCCAATCCATCCCCAGGATTGCATCGAACTCAATCATACTCAGCGGCACGAAATCACACGACAAGTTTTGGCCCTCCACTTCCACCTCACACGATGGATAGTGGCTATCTCTCTCGATGTCCTCCCCTAGGGGTGTGGATACCAATAGGTCTTGAGCCATCGGTACCAGGGGTACGTTGAATCCCCCGGCGAATGCCTCACTCACAAATGATCGTTGCGCCCCGGTATCGATGAGGATTCTCGCACATCTCCCATTAATCTTTAGTGTTCCTACATTTATAAGCCATGTAAGATACCTCTCTAACATACCGACCAATCCTACGAAGAACATAATGCGAAATTATGTCCTTAAAGTGGGCAAAATCCCCCAATTATGGTTGACGTTCGCAGTTGAGATATAAATTGACACTGTCTCACCGTTTTGATCATATCTCTTCACATACTTAACCAAATCGTTCGATTCAAATTCCATCATTTAGACAATGAAAATATCTACAACTTTCATGAAGACAACTTTTTCATTTGACGAACACTTCGAGGTGTACCCGGTCGGGTAACATACTATACCCGGTCGGGTATAAGTTCAGTGGGTTCGGGCAGAATTTTTTTTTTTGACAAACCCGGTCGGGTTTACCACCATACCCGGTCGGGTATGTGTTCCAGAAGGTGTTGGGCAGAAATTTTTGACAAACCCGGTCGGGTATACCACCATACCCGGTCGGGTATGTGTTCCAGTGGACTTATGAGTGCAAAAACTTGGCCTACCCGGTCGGGTTCATTACCAAACCCGATCGGGTATGCGATCCAGAAGGTTTACGAGGGCAAAAACTTGTCCCACCCGGTCGGGTAGTAGCATGGTTTTGCTCTCCTTTCCCATTTCAATCTTACGTCTGCTCCCACCTGGATTCTAGGATTTATAACTTCAATTTATGGATGAGGAATGGGTAAAACACGGGAAGTTAAGCGGTCGTACCTGCAACCGAATCTGGGTTAGCTCGGGCACCCGCCTCCGTCATTGCGTAGACCCTTGCTTGGCTCCTTCCTTGGTTCACGGAGGGTGCGTTGCTCGTACTTGCTCCCCCTTGCCCCGTACTAGCATGAGGTGCTCCGGTTCGGCTCCTACTCGCCGTAGTAGTGCCGCTTGATCCCGCTCCTCGGTTTCTACCAAGTTGAGGGCAATTTGACTTAATATGCCCCGTGTCCCCACATTGGAAGCATCTAGGGGGGGTCGCGACATTTACCGGAGTGGTTCTTCTTGCAATTGTTGCAACGAGTTACCACCGAGGTTTGTGACCTCGAGCCTTGCCCACTCGGGCCTTGGTTCCCCCTAGACGGTGGCGGTGGTGCCCTGAAAGATCCTCCTCCATGGTTCCCCTTTTTGTTGGAACCTTGGGAGCCATGACTCTCCCACTTTCTCTTTTTCGCCTCCTCGGCGTCTCTCTTCTTCCTCTCCTCCCACTGTTTCTCCCCCTTCAACGCTTGGTCAACCACTTGGGCGAAAGTCATGTTAGGCAATTGTGTTGCCCTATCACGTATCTCCAAGTCAAGAGCATCCCAAAAGTGGTTTACCATTCGGTTCTCGTCACAAGCATACTCCGGTATGTAGTCGGCGAGATCCCGGAACTTGTACTCAAGTTCCTTCACTGTCATGTTACCCCCTTGGGTTAGGAGGGTGTATTCCCTCACCTTCTTGTTTACTTCAAAATCAGAATAATATTGGGCAAAGAACTCCCGTTGGAAGTCCTCCCAAACTACGGTCTCACCGTACTTGCTCTTAGTTCCATCTCACCACTTGGATGCCATCCCCTCGAGCAATCTTACCGCAATTCTCAGTTTGAGATTCGGCGCGATTTGCATGTCAAGGGCTGCTTCATTTAGCCTCTTGATCCATTGTGCTGCAACTGAAATGTCCCCAGCTCCATCAAAGGGTTTGCACCCCAAATCTCTTGCTTCTTTGATGAATTTGGAGATCCTTATGGTTGGACCTCCATCATTTTGGCCTCCATGTGGTTCCACATGGACTCTAGATGCACCATGACTTCCTCCTCTTGAAGTCATGCCCGAAGGTTGCCCAGCCCGGCGCCTTCGGCGTTCCCTCCTCTCTTCACGCTCACGGTGATACTGTTGGAGTAGCGCCTCAATCCGTGCTAAGGAGCCATTTTCCTCCTCATCACTTACATCGTCAGCATCCCCTTCATAAGGGGTCTCGACCGGTTCGGTCTCCGGTTGGTAAGTCGAGTCCTCATAGGACCAGTAAGTTTCACTTTCTGTGTCGACATGACCGTCACTCACGGTCTGCGATCGGCCTCCACGGCCAGCTCCTCTAGATGCCCTAGAGGTCCTTCGACTGCCCCGTCCAGTCTCCACTGGTACACGGCCAGTTGGGTTTCTCCTAGTAATCCTGCCACCACGGTCCATTTCTGAAAGAAATTTGGAAAGAGTCGTTAGACTCGTATCAAATGTCAATTGACGGATAGGTACTTAAGACACATTTTGGCTCGAGTCACCGCCATACCAATTGCTAAGGGTACCATCTTAACAATTAGAGACCTTGCAACCCAAGTACCAAAAGCTCTCCAAGTACAAAACTTCTATGCTCATGGTTTTCAAAATCTTTTCAAAAAGAGAATTTTGAGACTTCATTATGAAGTTTATGGACTAAGGCTCTGATACCAACTTAATTGTCACGCCCCGGACCCCTCCGGACACGTCAACAACCCGCCGTACAATACGAATAGTCAACCGCAGTCCAACACATTCATATTATACAAGGCGTCTTGAATATCATTCACACTCATAACATCCATAAACAAACATAATAAGTAATTCATAACGCAGCGGAAAACATTGTTTAAAACAAAAGAGCCACACAGGGCTATTCATGAGCACGCAGGCTCTAAAGTAAAATATCCATGAGCAAGTTTATTAATGTTTCAAATAGAACGGAGGAAGCACGAACCAAGTCTTCTCTCCGAGGAATCCCCCGATCAACGAGCACAGGATGCAAGCTCTAGCCTCAACCTGAAATGGTGGTGGGACGCCCCCGAAGGGGTCAGTACTCTATACGGCTATAAAGTACTGGTGTGGCAGGCATCTAATAGATATACAACAAGTATTTCAAACACAAGACCCTCAAATAGGGTGATAGTACATTATGATTGTAACCCTAAGTTACCCCGTTTAAAAATATACTTACTTTATATAAAAGTCAAGTAGTCGGCCCGTGGGCCCATGTTCATTTGGAAATCACCATTCCCAACCCCGTGACTATAAGCCACGACAACTCCTAGAGTCCAACCCTAGTACATGACATTGTATTCTAGAGCTCGGCTCTACCACATCACCATACAATTCATATACCTCGGGTTAATTTCCTTACCTTGCGTTCTAGAGCTCGGCTCTATCACATCACCACGCAAGTCCTAGAGCTCGGCTCTAGCTATACAATACGTAGATTCCAAGTCTACACCTTACATGCATTCTAGAGCTCGACTCTATCACATCGCCATGCATTAAGGTCCATTTCTCAAGCAACCCTATGCCTAGAATTGACATATCATTATACTACCATGAGTCATTCTTAAAGACTTCCCACAACTTAACCTTAGTTCCATACTAGGTTATCATATACACTTGAACTATATTCAAGTATCTTCCATACAATCCAATCCCTAGGATCAAATTAATTCACAAGTTCCAATAATCACTAACTAGTATTTCAATACTATTAAGATTATTGTTATCATACCATTATCCTCATTATTTGTAATTCCCTACATATTTATAGTTATGTAGCAGCAACTTAAGTATTCAATCTCAATACACAAATATTCATTTATGTATCCACATAATTCATACATGAGTAAAATACCCATTTTCACGAAATAGTTCTTTTATACTCATTTAGTCTCATATTATTCATACCTTCTCAAATCATTTCAAATTTCATTCTTTGGCAACTATATCAATATTTCATCAATATATAATCATTATAATCCATGAAAAATCATGATTTAAGCATTTAGGTAATCTCATGCTTAACCTACAAGTTGTAAGCAATTAGATGTCAATCCTCACCTCAATTGAGCTTTAAACTTTCCCTTCTTGGTCCAATGGTCAAAGCTTTGGTCAAGGTGGATTTGGGACTGATTCCTTTCTCAAATATGAGTGTTAAACAGCCTCCTCAAAGTGCTAGTTCAACCCTTAATCGTTGATACGAAAACAGCCCCTAGAACGGGTGTTTCCCGGTTAACTCGTTTCCTAGTTTTTCCAAGATTTGCTCTAGGTTAGTATCTAACCTTTACATCAATAAAATAACTTTATAAGGACATATTATACACTTGGATTAGTGTATAATAGTCCCACCAATCGTTCGTATCATTTGGAGAATGAAAAGTAAAGTTTTGGGGTTAAAACTCACTTTAGAAGATTAAATCCTCTCCTGCGAGGTTGTGTTTTGCTCGGACGATTTGGAAGTCTTCCACAACTCCGATTCATGCAAACCAGACCTTCAAGGATTCCTCGTCTTGAGAGCTTTCTTTTGGTATCTCACACGCCTTAATTGGATTGGTAAAACTCGAGATATCAACCAAACAGTCTCAGCACTCTCACAGCTCGAGTTCACAGACCACTGCTCGTTCCAGATCGATATTTGGATGATTGCTCTCTCCTCTCGAACAGAGACCACTCAATTATAAAAATAGACTTCAAAAGCTATCCAAGGACACCTTATACCCGTTGTTTGGTCGAGTATAACTCCCATAATGAGTGGAGACAACCAGCACACCATTTTGTGCGAAAGATAGGGATGGTGGCCCAACATTTGATTCCTATCAAGTCTTGTGCAGCTCCCCTCCATGGTGGTCGGCCAAGGTAAGTTTCCTAACCCATTTTTATTTGTTTTGCAGGTACTAATATCATGTGGAGTGGTTCCCAATTGATCCCAATCATTTTGGGATCCAAATTATCTACCAATACTTCCAAAAATGGGGAAAATGGGTCCTATTGTTTTATCTTTGTCAAAAGATGTCTTTTTGTACTCATCCTAATTTATTTAGAACAAGTCAACTTCCTAAATCACATTATTGATCTCCAATATGTGTAGGCTCATCCCAATAATTTACTTGATGGATATTATAGAAGGAAAATCCTACTTCCATTATTTAGCTCAAAAATGCCAAAGATAGGGTTGTAGGCATTGGTATTCTTTTTAATCATTCGATCACTTATTTAGATAATGTTGAGCTCTTTTATTTATTAATAAGTCCCGAAAAGTGTTTGCAAACCCGACACTATCATACGAGTTTGAACAGTACGATATTCAGTCATGCACTACGTAAAACATTAATCGCTTTACAATTGTTTGGCAATCGGAATTTTAATACATAAATGTTAAATTTTTAAATCGAATTTTTAAGGACGTTCGGGTGCGGTGTCACAAGTTCACCCCCCCTTAACAGGAATTTCGTCCCCGAAATTCACAGCTCTACTCGAATAGGAAAGCATACTGCTTCCTCATCAAAGCCTCTGTTTCCCATGTCTCTTCCTCGACCCGATCGCTCTTCCACAGGACTTTAACCATTGGGACTTCTTTGCTCCTCAGCTTCTTCACCTTTCTATCGGTGACTTTGATAGGTTGAACAGCGTAGTTCAAATCCTCACGTACCTCTACAGGTGGCTTCTCCAATACGTGAGAGGGATCATGCACGTACTTCTTAAGCATGGATACATGAAACACATTATGTATCTTCTCTAACTCAGGAGTCAACTGTAGACGATATGCAACGGCCCCAATCCTCTCTATAATTTTGAATGGACCTATATATCGTGGGTTAAGTTTTCCTCGGGTTTGGAACCGAATGATCCCTTTCCAGGGAGAAACTTTCAAGAATACCCCGTCATCAACCTTAAACTCTAAGGTTCTTCGACGCTTATCTGCATAACTCTTTTGTCTATCCTGAGCCGCCTTGAGTCTCTCTTGAATCAACTTCACCTTTGATTTGGTGACCTCAACCAACTCAGTACCCTCGAGTTTGGCCATGCCAACCTCGTCCCAGCATAACGGTGTACGGCACCTCCTCCCATACAATGCCTCGTATGGAGGCATGCCGATGCTTGCCTGATAACTGTTGTTATAGGCAAACTCCACAAGTGCTAAGTGGTTGTCCCAACTTCCCTGGAACTCCAATGCACAAGCCCTCAGCATGTCTTCTAGGATCTGTATGACTCTTTCAGACTGCCCATCCGTCTGAGGGTGGAAAGCAGTACTGAACTTCAACCTCGTTCCCATAGACTCCTGAAATTTTGGCCAAAAACGTGATGTGAATCGTGGGTCTCTATCAGATACAATGGTCACTGGGACCCCATGCAGCCTCACGATCTCATCCGTATACAATTTGGCTAACCTCTCAAGTGGGTAAGTAGTGTTGATAGGCAAGAAGTGTGCACTCTTTGTGAGCCTATCTACAACAACCCAAACTGCATCATAGTTCCTGATTGTCCGTGGCAAACCTACCACAAAATCCATAGTCACGTGTTCCCACTTCCATTCAGGAATGGAAAGTGGTTGCAATAAGCCTGCTGGATGCTGATGCTCTGCCTTAACTTGTTGACAAGTAAGGCATCGACTGATGTATTCGGCTATTTCTCTCTTCATACCTGACCACCAGTAACTCTCCTTCAGGTCACGGTACATCTTCGTGCCCCCCGGGTGCATGGCATAAGCCGATGAATGAGCTTCCTCTAAGATGGACTTCCGGAGCTCGTCATCTGCCGGTACACACACTCGGTCACGAAATAATAAGAGACCGTCATCTCTGAAGTCCTCCACCGAACCCGCTTGCATGCGTTCCCGGATCTTCATAATTTCTTCGTCGGTTTCCTGACCCTTCTTGATCTCATCAAGTAAAGTAGGTCTCACCTCAAATCGTGCCAATAAGGCACCATCGCTAGATACCTCCAGTTGGGCTCTTAATGCCCTCAAATTAGCTAGCAATGCCCCAGACGAGCTCTTCCGGCTCAAAGCATCTGCCACCACGTTTGCCTTGCCTGGGTGGTACTCTATCACTAGATGGTAGTCTTTTATCAGCTCCATCCACCGTCTCTGTCTCATGTTTAGCTCTTTCTGAGTAAACACGTACTTCAAGCTCTTGTGATCAGTGTATATGTGACATGTCTCCCCGTAGAGATAATGTCTCCATATCTTCAGTGCAAACACCACTGCCCCCAGCTCCAAATCATGAGTAGGATAATTCACCTCATGCTTCTTCAATTGCCGTGAAGCATAGGCGATTACCCTCCCATTCTGCATCAGTACACATCCAAGCCCTTGGATGCTCGCGTCGCTATAGACATCGTACCCCACACCTTGTTTGGGTAATGCAAGTACCGGTGCCTCAGTCAATCTCTTCTTTAGTTCCATGAACCCTTTCTCACATTTGTCATCCCATACAAACTTAGCTCCTTTACGAGTGAGCTTCGTCAATGGCGATGCCAAAACAGAGAACTTCTCCACGAACTTTCTGTAGTAGCCTGCCAATCCAAGGAAACTACGAATTTCCTTGACATTCTTTGGACTCTCCCATTCGGTGATGGCTTCTATCTTTTTGTTATCAACAGCAATTCCCGATCCTGAAACCACGTGCCCGAGGAAGCCAATCTCCTTTAGCCAAAATTCACATTTAGAAAATTTGGCATAGAGTTGCTTCTCCCGTAGTGTCTCAAGAACAAGTATCAAGTGCTCTTCGTGCTCCTCTTCACTCTTTGAGTAAATCAAGATGTCATCTATGAACACAATCACGAATCGATCCAAGTATTTATGGAATACTCGGTTCATCAAGTCCATGAATGCCGCTGGGGCGTTTGTTAACCCAAACGACATAACAAGGAACTCAAAATGCCCATACCTTGTGCGGAAAGCACTCTTTGGTGTGTCATCTTCCTTAATCTTCAATTGATGGTATCCCGATCTCAAGTCAATCTTCGAAAACACGGTTGCTCCTCGTAGTTGATCAAACAAGTCGTCAATCCTAGGCAACGGATACCTATTCTTGATTGTGACCTTGTTCAGTTGACGATAGTCAATGCACATTCGAAGTGTCCCGTCTTTCTTTTTCACAAAAAGAACTGGTGCTCCCCACGGGGAGTGGCTTGGTCTAATGAAACCATTATCCAAAAGCTCTTGCAATTGGGTTTTCAACTCGTTAAGTTCAGCGGGTGCCATACGGTATGGCGGTATGGAGATTGGTTTGGTGTCGGGCTCGACTTCGATCACGAACTCAATCTCCCTATCGGGTGGAAGTCCCGGTAAGTCTTTAGGAAAGACGTCCCGATACTTGCATACTACTCTAACATCATCAATGCTCGTCTCTTCTTTGGTTTTGTCCACCACATACGCTAGATATGCGTGACATCCCTTCCTCATCATATTCTTAGCTCTCACAGCGGATATGATACAACTATTGGATTTTTCCCTATCCCCCTCGAAGCGCAAGGTTACCCCTTCATTGCCTTCAAGTTCAAGTACTTTCGTGTAACAATCGACCCTAGCATGATGCTTCTCAAGCCAATCCATCCCCAGGATTGCATCGAACTCAATCATACTCAGCGGCACGAAATCACACGACAAGTTTTGGCCCTCCACTTCCACCTCACACGATGGATAGTGGCTATCTCTCTCGATGTCCTCCCCTAGGGGTGTGGATACCAATAGGTCTTGAGCCATCGGTACCAGGGGTACGTTGAATCCCCCGGCGAATGCCTCACTCACAAATGATCGTTGCGCCCCGGTATCGATGAGGATTCTCGCACATCTCCCATTAATCTTTAGTGTTCCTACATTTATAAGCCATGTAAGATACCTCTCTAACATACCGACCAATCCTACGAAGAACATAATGCGAAATTATGTCCTTAAAGTGGGCAAAATCCCCCAATTATGGTTGACGTTCGCAGTTGAGATATAAATTGACACTGTCTCACCGTTTTGATCATATCTCTTCACATACTTAACCAAATCGTTCGATTCAAATTCCATCATTTAGACAATGAAAATATCTACAACTTTCATGAAGACAACTTTTTCATTTGACGAACACTTCGAGGTGTACCCGGTCGGGTAACATACTATACCCGGTCGGGTATAAGTTCAGTGGGTTCGGGCAGAATTTTTTTTTTTGACAAACCCGGTCGGGTTTACCACCATACCCGGTCGGGTATGTGTTCCAGAAGGTGTTGGGCAGAAATTTTTGACAAACCCGGTCGGGTATACCACCATACCCGGTCGGGTATGTGTTCCAGTGGACTTATGAGTGCAAAAACTTGGCCTACCCGGTCGGGTTCATTACCAAACCCGATCGGGTATGCGATCCAGAAGGTTTACGAGGGCAAAAACTTGTCCCACCCGGTCGGGTAGTAGCATGGTTTTGCTCTCCTTTCCCATTTCAATCTTACGTCTGCTCCCACCTGGATTCTAGGATTTATAACTTCAATTTATGGATGAGGAATGGGTAAAACACGGGAAGTTAAGCGGTCGTACCTGCAACCGAATCTGGGTTAGCTCGGGCACCCGCCTCCGTCATTGCGTAGACCCTTGCTTGGCTCCTTCCTTGGTTCACGGAGGGTGCGTTGCTCGTACTTGCTCCCCCTTGCCCCGTACTAGCATGAGGTGCTCCGGTTCGGCTCCTACTCGCCGTAGTAGCGCCGCTTGATCCC